TAAATTCAATAGCGATGGCCATGAAATCAACGAAGACTCCTTCAACTTCTCGTTTTAGAGAAAACTAATAATCACTTATGAATTGCATCACAAGAAAATCAAAGATTTAAATCAGAAAAGATAGCAGCGGTGTCTCTTCCAATTTTAATCAACATTCTTCTGGTTCTTCACTCTGTTCTTCATCTTCTTTATTATTGATAGAGTCGCTTGATCATGAACATCAAATCTGATCGGCAACGGTGATTTTGATTATGATTCAGTTACCGGAACGACTCCTAGATTAACACCTCACAAACGGGTCAGGGAAAGCTGATGTAGAGGGCAGTACAAGCAAGGATTGAGACATGGATTTGGTGTGTACAAATTCTACACCGTAAATGCATATTTCGGTGAATGGTTAAGAGGTTAAAGTTATCGATGCTCAAGGCAAGGATTGAGACATGGATACGGTGTGTTTAGATTCATCTCCAACAAATATCTCAAGTGACATCAAGCAATGGCCAGCAAATACTATGTGCTTGTCAAAAATGGCAATTGATCCCTAGTTCATCTCGTTTCTTACAGTAACATTGTTTATTGCAAGTGGGTTTTCAGGTTGAAGTATGAAAAAAATCAGTGTTATCACTCGCTACAAGGCCATGGATGTGGGATTCATACTTGTGAAAATGGTAGCAGATATGTTGGAGAATTCAGTTGGGTTGTTAAACATGCTCTTGGCCATTATCATTTTAGGTTATATAAAAATTCCTCAAAGCTTCTGATTATATCATTTCTTGATCATATTTATTAATTTTTTTGACAAACAATGAAAAAATTATAGTTTCTTGATTGGATCCTTTTCCATTTGAGTACCTTTCTTTCTGCAGATCCCCCAAAACACAAAATAACAAACCATCATCACCTCACATTACATTTATTTGAAAGAGTTTTTTGGATTTTCAGAAAGAAGAGTCACAGAACTCAACAACTCGTAAATCCTAAGCTTCAGCGATGATGGGGGAAGCCACAGGGCGAGACTAAACCTTGCGTTTCAAGAAGTCTACCACAAGCTCTTCATCAGTCGGGAAGAACCGGGAAAAACCTGAACCCTAATGGTAATCGAAGGCCACCATTGTTAACAAAATTAAGCTTTTTCCATTTCCCGATTTTGAAAAAGATAGAAAAGAAAAATGTGAAATATTTTTGTTTTGGTAAGAAAAAGGTGTTAGAGTAAGGCTTAGATTGACAAGGCAGAACTCTACTAGGCGCCAAGTGTTGTTGACGAGGCTACATGTCATTATTTTCTAACCTATTTGGCAGATCTAACCAGTTATAATTGGTTGTGTACCCAAATTAACCAGTAAAACACAAGTTTTTGCCATTAGAAATCAAAAAAAATAAGATGATGGACCTGTTAAACTAAAACATGTAAGTTTGTTGGGCTGTAGTGATACTTACTATTTTTTTAAAAACTTTGATTTTTTTTTTTTTAAGTTTGATTTACGGATTTGATACAATTTCTTATAGTTTCCACAATATTTTATAACTTGATTCTTATAAAAACCTTTGATTTTTTAAAATATTTACTGTTTCTTTTAATAATATTTTTAGTTTCAGTTGCATCTTTTTGAATATGTGTTATTATTTTACGAATTTTCTAGATATTGTTTGCAACATTTTCTTAATTTTTTTTTTAAATTTCTCTTTTTTATGTTCTTTAAAATTAATTTTTTTCTAGACAAAAGAAGTTGATAGCTTCTTTTACATTTTTTTAGATTTTTTGTTATAGAAATTTTATATTTTTGTTTTTTACATGTTCTTTTTAATATTATTTCAATGTTTTAAGACTAAAATTATTAAATATTTGGTGTTGAGAATTATATTCAATTTGTCAAATTAATTTATTTAAATTTCAGTTTGTTGCAACAGTTTGCCAATGTTAAAAAAACAAACTTTTTATTATAGATTGCGGCCTTTTGATCATTATCATCTGCCGCAGAGGGTTGCAAAGGTGGTCCACATATTTCATAAAATTTCATTTTGGAAAAACAAACAACACCTTAGCAAGTTTGATAGATAATTGTAATTTTAGTTTTTATGTTCTACATATTTTCATAAATTTATATTATTAAACTAGGTGTGAGACCCATGTATTACATGAGTTTATTTAAAAGGAAAACTAAATACAAAATTCTACACATTTGAGAAGTTTGAATTTATAAGAAAAGTGAGAAAATATTGAACTATAAAAATTAAAGTGTTTTTTTTTTTCTCTTTTAAATTTAAACAAATACTTTAGATAAAAAAATAAAAAAATTAATGAATCTTTAATTTAGTAAATTTGAAATTAGAAGGAAAGTTCATTAATGAAATTGATATGCATAGATTATTACATTTAAATACGATCTAGAATTTAATAAAATGAAAAAAAAAATCATAAAATGACATGTGAAATAAAAATTTATTTAAAATAATCATAAAATTACATGTGGTAAAATAAATGAGAATGTGAAATATGACCAAAAAAAATCTTTATTTATTAGAAATGACTAGGTGTGAGACCCATGTATTACATGAGTTTCTTTCAAATAAAAAATAAATATGAAATTATAAATATTTGAAAAGTTTGAATTTATAAGAAAATTGAGAAAAATATTGAATTATTAAAATTAAATTGTTTTTTTCTCTTTTAAATTTAAACAAATAATTTAGATAAATAAATAAAGAAAACTAATGAGGCTTTAATAAAGTAATATTGAAATTATAAGGAAAATCTATTAATAAAAGTAATATAAATTTATTATTATGTTCAAATATATATGAAATTTAATAAAATGAAAAAACCATAAAATTGATATGTGGAATAAAATTTAATTTAAAATTATCATAAAATGACATATAATAAAATGAATAGGAATGTAAGATGTTACAAAAAGATCATTATTATTATATTTTAGATATTTAATTACTCTCGTACTTCTTAGGCTGGAGGGAGTGGTGCCACCGAAACCGCACTCCCTCCCTCGCCACGTAAGCGCCACATCACATTTTACCACTTAAGTGTGGTTTCTTGCCACACCAAGGGTGTGGTGCCACAGTTTTAGTTTTATTTATTTTTTCTTTTTTTTTTTGTTTTTTTTTGTTAACTATTTTAATTTAATAAAACTTATTTTTTAATAAAAAAAACATAATTTTAAAAACATAATAGTTCATTAATTAAAAATACAAATACCATACATTGCCTAATTTAAAAAAAAAAAAAACCTAAAAATTTAGAAAAACAAAGTAGAAACAAAAAACCAACAACTTTAAAAAAAAAACACACAAGAAACCATTAAAAACTTGAAAAAAAAAACTAGAAATTAGCCACGATTCATATAACGGTTTTTCACTTCCTCCTTCATCGTCAAAACCACTTCAAGCTCGGCCCCGGTCATATTCGACGTGTCCATTGCTAGTATTCGCATGTCGCTCTCCCTTTGTTTCCGAAGCTCTCTTTCAGAAGTAATTTTCAAAATCTTATCCATTCTCTCTTTTATATCCTTCATGTCGGTTCTCATTTCTTTCAAATCATCTGAATCCGACGCTTTGCCTTTGCCTTTGCTTTTTGATTTGTCTCTTCCCAATGGTCGAGAAGGTGGTGAAACTGGAACAGGTTCATCTTCGTTCAGATCAAACTGAACACGAGCATCTGATGTAGTGTGGTCGGATTCAGATGTTCTGCTGCGTTTTGACCCACTGTCGATATGTTGGTCAGATGTTTTGCTACTCAGCCATTTCCTGTTATCTTTCAAAAAATTTCAAACTTCAAGAAACTTGAAAGCCTTCAGATTTTCTTTTTGATACACTTTCAAGGCTTTCTGCAAAATGACTTCATCACTTTCTCCACTTTTCCATTGACGTTTCATGTTGTTCCACAAGTCATTAAACAACATGACTTCCTTGTTCATCTTCCCCCATTTGGAGTACACTTGATGTTTTGAATGGTATTCTCCACGGCTCATTCCTTTATAGAACCTGTGTAAAACGCGAATCCAAAAGCGGTCATGCTTTTGGTCTTTTCCAACCCCCGCGTCTTCTGAAATATCGATCCAAGATTGTGCCAACACCAACGCTTCCAAAGGTTCCCAACATCTAGCCTCCGCCTTCTCTTTTCTTTTATTCGTTGCTCGAGTGGGCTGAGTTTCTGTAACGAATTCTGGTTCAGAATCAGAAACGACCGTTTCTGGTTGTGTTTGTGTTTATTGCACAAACTCGGGTTGGGACAAAAAATCAAATGGATTAAAATCCGGGTCGGGTGGTGGTAGTGGTGGTGTTTGTGGATGTGGTTGCCCTGGTCGATGTGGAAAAGAAGGAAACATACCGCCATAGTGGTAATACGGAGGTGAGAAAATCGGTTGATCAAATGAAGGTATTGGGGTGTTGGTGTTTCTAACTGATGTTTTATCTTTGCTAGGTCTTTTGGAAGAAGACATTTTTTCAAGAAAATTGGATAAAATGATTGTATTTTTATGTGTTTAAAGGTTGTGTGAATGTAAAAATGATAACATATGTATATATAGATGGAGTAAAAGGTTATTAAAAAAAAAAAAAAAAAAAAAAAAAAAAAACCAATTAAATGGAATGAATCTTTGAACGGTCAAGAGAGGAGCAACCAATCACAGAACACGATCTTCAAGGGCCGTAGTGCGGTCTCGACCGCCCCAAACCGCACCCTGGGGGCGGTGTTCATGTCCCACGTGGCATGACTGCGGTTCCAAACCGCGTACCACACCGAGAAGTCTTAGTGTTATGTGAAGTCAAATATTACGTTTAAAAACTAATATTTAAATTGTATCAATAAATTCATGAAAGTTTTTTTATCTGTTATAGTTTTTTTATTTACAAAATATATACCATAAAATTCCTTCTTTAGCCATCTCTCTCTCTCTCTCTCTCTCTCTCTCTCTCTCTCTCTCTCTCTCTCTCTCTCTCTCTCTCTCTCTCTCTACAAATACTGCATTTACAATTTTTGCACCAAAATGGCAACCCACAAGAAAGGAATCATGTACGTATACAAACTCGACACAGGAAATCACCAACCGGAGCCACACTACCTCGCAACAACTCCGCCGCCAACCACCATCACAAAGAAATCCATTTCCCGGACCTTAGGATCACTACTATGGAGATCCAAAACCTACCGAGAAAAGACCCACCATCACAATCCCGACAAAGAAGATACAAAAGAAATGGTTCAAGAATCTTCAAGAAAGTCGGTTCCGGCGATTGACAGCGGTAGGAGGTCGGTTCCGGCGACTAGTGATGGCACCAAATTGGTTTCTGCGATTGAGCAAGGTAGGAAAACTGTTTCAGGGATCGGAGAAGGGAGGAAACCAGCGTGGGGAACTGAAGTGGGGATGGTGGCAGGGCGGAGATCAGCCGAGAATAGGGCGGAGATGGTAATGGTTAATGTGGGGGAGTTGGCGGAGTTGTTTCAGGTGAAGGTGTTTGTGACGGACATGCCGGCGTTCATGCAAGTCCATGCATTCCGGTGTGCCAGAAAAACTTTGGATAGCTTGGAGAAATTTGCCCCCAAACAAATTGCTTTCAACATGAAAAAGGTATGTAATTTTTCTCAAATTCTACAACTTTTAAAGTATAATATTCAAATAATTAAAGAATAATGTTGCGGAAATGGTGACCATAAAAATGGGTGCATTTCTTTGGGAGCAGAATTAGTAAAAATTCTGGTTGTAAATAATGTCTATGACTACTTCATTGATTTTGTTTTATATTAATCAAATTATCTACCAAAAGTTATCAAAAAATAATCAAACAACCAAACATTTTTTTTTATCAAACTGTTTTGTAGTCTTGTCTTAAATTATCATTTATTTCGGTTAATTAACAAAAATGTGACAAATATGAATCTGATATATAACTGATAATGACATAAGAATATAATCATATAGTAAGTATTTTAAGAAACAATTAAATATAATTTTCAATTTAGATTTTCTGTTTATTATCATATATAAATTAATGAATTACGTACGGTCGTAACAATTATCAAGTTGCAATATTAAAATCATAATAGTTTATATTTATAAACATATTTAAATTAAAAAAATGGATATGTTTGGTTAAACATGAAAAATCAAATTAATGTTATTTAAGATAACTATTTATTTTGAACAAATGCAATTGCATGGTCTGTTTTATTATTTATTTATTTTTATTTCATTATTATTATTATTATTTTATTGAAACAACAAATCTAATTTATTTCTAAACTATTTTTTAATTCCACATATGTTTACAACGAGATTTGAATCCTTAACTTCAAAAAAAAAAAAAAAAAAACACATGATACCGTTGGATTAAAAGTTCTTTAATGTCTTTTTATAATATATTAAATGTATGTTCGTTACACGGAATATATATATATATATATATATATATATATATATATATATATATATATATATATGGTAAACTAAATAAGTAAGTAATTGTGTATTAAATTGTAAAAATATTATTCGCTTAAAAGTTATATTATTAACTAAATAAGATGTTATTAAGTAATACGGCAGTTAATTTAACCAATTTGGAGCATTTTTTTAACAATAAATAATGAACTTATATATTAATTTCATTTTCGGAAAAAAAAAAAAAGTCATTTTCGAAAAGAACTTTACATATCTATTAAACCTTGTGTTACATAATTAATATTCGTAGTTGAAAAAGCCTATTCATTTGTAAAATTAAATTTTGTATATTCAGTACACTTAATGAAATTCAAATTATTATTGTAATCAAAATTAATAATTTTGTAGGTTATCAAATTTGTACCACATTTGAGCATCAAATAGGACTTGCATTAATATGTAGCTAGGAGTTATATATGACACTGACAAATGTCACTATTATAATAAATATTTAGATAAGAGAAATTAAATATCCTTTTAAATATCCTTTTACTTTTCTTCCTACATATCTTCCTATCCATTTAAAATAATGACAAGTGTATTAAAATATCATTAATCTTATCAAAATATGACACATATCATCATCATACATGGGTAGGAAGATAAGTAGGAAGAAAAGGTAGGAGGATATTTAATTTCTCGAAAGATAATTATATTTCTGGATGTATGATTGCTGATATCAATTTACGGGATAATATTTTTTTAAAAGTTTTTTTAGAATTAAGGATCATACGAATTAAATAATCCGTTTTAACAAAATATCAGGTAGAAAAGATATTATTAGTAGATATAATAGCATTATTGAAATTAAAAAATGTATAGTTAAATGAAATATTTCTATTTATATATATATTTTTATCAATAAACAGAAGTTATATGTTATAAAATTAATTGCTACTTTTGTTTTATGGTGATATTTTCTAAACAACCGTACTAGAAAGTAGAAACGTATTGAAAAAATTATAAAAACAAAGCAGTCATTTTAATTTCATTTGATATGTTATCACAATTTGTTGATTTCGATTATACCTAAATTATGTGATTGTTAATAAAAGCTTCATAAACTTTATATATATATATATATATATATATATATATATATATATATATATATATATATATATATATATATATATATATATATATATATATATATATATATATATTATCTGTTATTATCTTCTTTATTTTGTATTGTTAACAGAAGTAGTCATACTTTTATTATGTGTTGCAGGATTTTGACAAGGTATATGGGCCGGCCTGGCATTGCATTGTGGGTTCAAGTTTTGGGTCATTTGTGACACATGCAACCGGTTGTTTTCTTTATTTTTCCACGGAAAATTTATACATTTTAGTTTTTAAAACAAAAGTTCTAAAAAATGTGAACACTCTACAATAAAATTAAAGGTTAGATGAAATAGTATGATTCCTATATCAACCACTATAGTTATGTACCTTTATTATTATTTTTTTTTTAATTTTTTTTAGGTTTGTTGATTGCTTACTAAATATTTTTGAAACTTTACATGAAAGCAATTATATACAGTTCACGGTTTGTATGTCAGCATGAGTGTTTGATGTTTGAAACTGTAAAAACAGATGTGATAGTTTAAAATGATTCTACACTATTTAGTTTATTAGCAGCATGTTTTTTTGAAATACTTGACCTAAACGATTATCTTGGCTTGTGACTGGGTTTTAATTTTTTAGAAGTGTAGCATTGATTTTGTTTTTGAACTATTTTGATAACATAAGTTAAACAGTTATACCAGTATTTTAAAATTTTGCTTTGAACATAAAAGATAAAAGTGTAAATGAAAATATTACATAATGCGTAATTACGTTATAAATACTAACAAAAACTAATCCCATAATTAGTCATTCTCATTTGTCTTCGGCAACCTCACGGGCGGAGCTTTGTGGTTTTTTTGTTAGATATAATTCATATACTTCAATTTTTAAGTATTAGACCTAAAAATATAATAAATCAAATGTTGACCTTCCATCTCTGTGCAACCTCATGCTTTTATGTTTGCTTCTCTCTCTATGCACATGACTGGAGGATCGTACATGACTTTGTAGAATAATGAAATAATATTTTTTTGTATATATTTAATCATTTTTTTTTCATATACAATCCACCGTTAAATCACATTATTTGTTTAAAACCTATCATGATAATCATGATTTTCTAATATGTGCCCTAAGGGCACATATAAGAAACATTAATTGATAATATATATTACCATAACTAATTAATTGATAATATGTATTTCAAATTTAATTATGGTAATATTTTTCATAATTAATACTTCTTATGTGTGCTCTTAGGGCACATATTAGAAAATCCATATATATATATATATATATATATATATATATATATATATATATATATATATATATATATATATGTGTGTGTGTGTGTGTGTGTGTGTGTGTGTGTGTGAGAGTGGTTCAAATGAGAACCAAAAAAGGTTAAGAACCGTAAGAACCTCTAACTTTAGATGTTTACAAAGGGTTTAGGTTAACCCTAAACCCTAAACCCTAAACTCTAAACTTTAAACCCTAACCCTTAACCCCTAAACCCTTTATAAACACCCTAAACCCTAAACCCTAAACCCTTTATAAACACCCTAAACCCTAAATCTTTTCTAAACATCTAAAATTAGAGGTTCTTACGGTTCTTAACCTTTTTTGGTTCTCATTTGAACCTTTATATATATATATATATATATATATATATATATATATATATATATATATATATATATATATATATATATATATATATATATATATATATAAAGTTTATTCCATAAAAAAACCCTAATTTTGTGGTTGTTTTTTTTTTCATTTTATACCTAATATTTTTCAAAATAAACATAAATTTACCTATTACTTTTTATTTCATTCGTGAAGCTGGTTAACATATTATTATTATTATTATTATTATTATTATTATTATTATTATTGGAACAACATAATTATATTAAACTGGTAATAAGCTAGGAAAATTTACATCAAAGTACAAGCTAAAGTGGAGTTTCGAAGTCATTCAATCCATCCTAATTTACCTTTACTACATCTATTTGAAATGCAAAAGAACGTTTTTTCTACAACTTCATCAAATAAAAAAGACTTATTTGGGATACCCGTTCCAAAGATGATTGCGTTTTGGAAATTTCAAATACTCCAAAATGTAGTAAAAATAACAGCATCACTCAGGCCAGAAGATAACTAACTGCACCAAAATCTGATCCGGAAGAGAAAAACCCCACCAAATAGCAATACGATTCCAAATATCAATCAACTCCTTGCAACCTGTAAAAAGATGATTGATGGTCTCCACAGAAGATGAACAAATTGGGCACATGATCGTAGACAACATTATACCTCTAGAATATAATCTCTCTCGTAAGAATATTAAGATGTTGTACCCTTCGAATGAGAACATTGAGTTTAATTGGGACCCAATTATTCCATCTAGTAACCACATTTCAGGAGGTGAAAGAGCCATTATCAATAGATAGATGTGCCGAAGAAATTGAAAATGTGTTAGAAATGTTTGTTATCCATCCCAATCTATTCACAATGGATTTAAGCTCTATTCCCTGCACTAAAGCCAAAAACATCAACTAATTGTGATTGATCTAAACTACCCCTAGAAAAATGTCTCAACTTGTCTATATCCCAACCGATCAAAATACGATCTCTAACCATGTGAGAACGGTACATATCAAGTGCAAAAACTCTATGGAAAGAAACAGCAAGCAGAGTATCTCCCACCCAAACATCATGCCAAAAAGAAGTATAAGCCCTATCATGTATCCTAATAGCAAAAAGGGCATGAAGGTCAAACCCGCGATCATGGAGATTAGCTATCATCTGAGAAATTCCACTCAAAAGGCCCGACCAAGATCTTTTTGGAATCAAAGGAGCATCTTGGCCATCCAAACCTTATAATTTTTTTACCACCCTGACCCATATCAGATCCGAATGATGAAAAAAGGCCACCGCCACCGAAGCAGAAGAGCCCTATTATAAGCAAAAAAGACTCCCTACTCCCAAGCCACCATATACTCTATCAGCAACGAGATTATCCCATCGCATCCAATGCATGCGGTGATCATCCAAATTAGCACCCCAAAAGAAAGAAGCTCTCATCATTTCTAAAGTATTAAGCATCGTAATAGGAACATGGAAAATAGACATCAAATAACTACCAATAGATCTAATAACAGACTTTATCATAGTAAGTCTCCCACAAAAAGAAAGACATTTTGCTTTCAAACCTGCCAATCTACTTTTAAAATGATCAATAATGGAAGACCAAGACCAAATTCTCAACATATTCTGACCAACCGGAACTCCCAGATGAAAGAAAGGGAGATTATTCTAACTACATCACATACGAAATGCCAAAGAAGCAACTTGGCCAACTGTAACCCCCACTCCATACAATTTACTTTTAAGTAAATTGATTTTCAAATCAGAAGCCATAAAAAACACTGAAGAATATGAACAATGTTTAAGGCATTATTCTGATCCCATGAAGCCATCAAAATAACATCACCAGCATAGAAAAGATAAGACATGTCAATGTTACCAATGGTAATACCCCTTCATTATCCATCTGAGCCCTACTCAAAGCCACATGCAAATCTTCCATGGTCAAAACAAAAAGGAAGGGGGATAAAAGACCACCCTGTCGCAGCCCACTAAACATAGAAAATTCTCGTAAAGGAGAACCATTCACAAGAACCGAAGCTGTAGCAGATGATAACATCTCCATAATCCACCTACACCAAAGAGATCTAAAATCCATAATCTGCATAATATCCATCAGATAATCCCATGAAAGAGAATCATAGGTTTTTTCAAAATCCACTTTAAAAATCAAAAGTAGATTTTTAGAAGCCTTACTCCACGCCACAATCTCGTTCAGAAGAAATGGACCATCTAAAATTTGTTTGCCCCGAATAAAAGCCGACTGCTCCATGCTCACCACACTACCAATAACCACCACCAATCTATTAGCTAAAAGTTCACCAATAACTTTATATTGGCACCCAGTTAGACTAATAGGTCTGAAATCTTTAACATTCTTTGGATCACTAATTTTCGGAATCAAAGTAAAAAAGAAAGCATTACACCCCTTATGAATAGAAGAGTTTGAATAGAAATGGCTCACAAAATCAACGAAATCTTCCTCCAAAATATCTTAATAAAGTAAACCCATATAGTTAACATATTAATTACATTTATTAAAAAAAAAACATATATTTTCCCTCTTGTTTCGGTTTAGACAAAAAAATCCAAATGAACTCAACTTTAACATATTCCTTGTTATTTCATTAATGGAGTCAGTTACCAACATGTAACCCTATATCCCCTAACACACGTGTGTCCTAAGCGTTGACATATTACATTCATACCAAAATCATGGTTAAACTTGCACATTAACTTGTAATGAAGGATCTTGGATATCTCAACTATTTTCTTGGTGTCACTGTTTACTGATATACAAGTGTATTGTTTTTATGTCAAAAGAAGCATGCTATGAAAGTACAGAAAGGTGTTGTAATGTCTTTTTGCAAACATATTCTCACTTTCATCGATACAAAGGAAAATTTAGTGCCAATGATGGACAACCTTACTCCAACCCCACTTTATATCGCAACCTTGTTGGAGTGCTTCAATATATTATATGTAGTTCAACAAATATGTTTCCACATGTATGCAACTCATGAACCCCAAATGGTAGCTTTAAAGTGTGTACTAGACTATGTGCAAGCCTTTAAGGTCCTCTCGATTATGTTTAATACTATTCCAATAGTTTTATCGCATACATTGGCATGATTGGACTAGATGTCCCAACACACATTGAGGTCGTATAGCGGGATGTTGGAGATATTCCCACGAACATGGAGGTGCTGCTAATGTGGTTTTAGAAACATGTTGAATTCAAAATATTCTTCTTAAGCTTTCATTGCCTATTACTAATGTTAACCTTGCTTATTATGACAATGTAAGTGTCGTTTATCCATAATATTTTAGAATGAATTCTTCCTGTAGATGATCAATGCTTAGGACACAAGTGATTAGGGGATATAGGGTTATATGTGGTGCACTCCTAGTGTCAGGGTAGCACACGTAAATTTTAGAGGTAGCTCACAAAGAAAATTACACTACATCGAAAACAAAATCAAAAAAATTTCATTATGTCTATAAAATTGAGGGGTAGCACAGACTACCTGAGGTTCTATTAAGGCCCATCTCTTGTTATATGTTGGTAACCGACTTCTATAATAAAATAACAATCTCTATTCTAATAAAAGAATAATTTTATTCTCCTTTTGACATGTGTTACCTTCTTAGACCTCTTAATTAATGCATATTTTATTCTTCTTTTGTCATGTATCACACTATTATGTCTCTTAATTAATACTTGCTTATTTATTTCAAATTTTAAATTTTAAATTTTCACTCTATCTACATTGAATTA